TGCAATTGGGGCATCCGCATAATGAGCCAGCTGTGGATCCTGGGAGGGCATCACACAGCTTCACACTTCCACAGTGCTTTTCATCTGCAGCGCCCGGGCCACGCCGGGCTGTAACGTTATCTTCCTCTGGACAAGACCAAAGAGCTCATTTGTAGTCCCTGCAACTGCCCTTCCACACACATGCACACACACACACACACACACACACAGCTCTCTGGCCTCACTCTGCACCCCCCTCCAGCCCAGCTGGCTTCTTTGCGATTCCTCCAACACACGGAGCATCGTCCACATATGGCCTATGACCTTGGAAAACTTCTCCCCAGCATGCACCTGGCTCTGGCCTTCTACGCTCAGCTCTCTGCTGGGAGCCCCACTCACCACTGATGCTCCCTCCGACCACTGAAAACCCCAGCTCTTTCTGTGCTGCATTATTCCCCATAGCACTTCACACCATCTGACAGGTTCCACACCTTTCTCTCTGGCTTGCTGTTTGTCTTGCCCACTAGCAGCAAGCAGATGAAGGCAGGGGCTTTGGTTTGTGCTTTTGCCATCGTTATGCAGCCTGGCATGGGCAGGCACTCGAAAATATTTCAATGGAAACTGATAAACCACGTGTCTTACATGGTTCAGGATACAGACTGACCCCGAGTTCTAAGCCGTGGGCGAGCTGAGATTTACAATCCCTGCCTGTGAGTTACATGGTTTCCCAAGACATAGAAGAATCTCTTATTAAAACGTCGTGAGGCAGAGCTGGTATCTGGCCTGGCAGTTATAATGCCAGTTAAGATGCCCACATCCCCCACTGCAGTGCCTGGGTTGGAGTCTTGGCTCCACATGCCGATTCTAGCTTCCTGCCTAATACACGCCCAGAGAGAGAGCAGCAATGGCCCAAGTGGGTGGGTTCCTGCCACCCATGTGGGAGAGCTGGCTTGAATCCCTAGTGCCTGGCTTAGGCCTGGCCCAGCCTCAGCATCTCAGGAGTAAACTAGAAGATGAGAGAGATTGTATCTACCTCCCCAGCCCCTTTTCTCAAGTAATTTTTTTTTTTTTTAGTTAAGAGACTACAAGCTTATATTAACATAGAAAATTGAGGCTGTTGTAGAATCCTTTGCCTGCTTCCTATGACGGAACACAGATGCTGGGGCCTTTTTGAGTGGCGAAGACCTGTGTCTCTTATTGTCTATGCATTGGGAAGCTTCAGGAAAGGGTGTCAGGATTCAAAATAAAGTCTGCAAAATAGAATTGTCCCCAATGAACAGTTACAAAGGCCAAGCAAGGGTCAATTTTCTATTTGTTCTTTAACAGAATATTCTAGACCTAACTGAAGCTAGAAATGTAAAGACCAGCCCAGCCCAATCTTTTCAATATTTTTGTACAAAATATTTAGAAAGCAAGACTCTTTCTCAGTTTTGAGATGATCTATCTTACACTTTATAAAAACTTGCCAATGAATGAATGTGAGTCTCTTATTAAAAGACTCATGGGAAAAACAATCAGAAGAGTGTTCAGATGGTTCAGTGAACATCTGAACATAAAGCAAAAGGAAATTTGGAGAAGGTAACACTCAAGAATCCTATTCCTTGAATAAGGACCTTGTGTTTCTACTTTTAAGCAGGTAAAGAATAAATGAAGTAGGGGCTAGCTAGGTCAGTGAACACTGTCCTGCTGGATGCATTACCACCATTCCTGCACCAGAGTGCACATGCTGCTGCCCTTCAGGCCTCAAGAGGATGCTCTCTGCTACAGCCATGGTCACCCAAGGCTGGTTTGATCAGGCTAAGGAAGAGGAGTATTATCCAACTTCCAGTGCATGCAAGTGAGGCTGGCGCAACAGATGGGAGTTCCTGAGTGGTCAGCCCCAAACCACAGGGAGACGGGCTGCACAATCCCCTACCCACACCCCTAACAGGAAGTCATCCTATGGTGACGGCTACAAGCAACCCCGCAAACAGAAATTGCACAATTCCACTGCTGCAACCGTCATCCTCTTTCTCAATATCACTTGCCTCATTATTCTACTTCTTTAAGTTTAATGATTTATATGTTTTCTTAATCCACAAGAAATTTAAAGAAATTCACCAACCATGTGCAACATGGAAAGATATTTTTTATATTAAAATTCAGGAGCAAAGAAAATACAAACTAGAACTGAAGTCTCATCTAAGGGACAAGGACAACATGTTCTGCACAGTATTTTTAAAAATTCTCAGAGTTAAGCAGTGAACTTGGCTCTGTGTTCACCTCGCAGTCAGAGCAAAGAGAGAAACAGGCTGAGTTACATGATGCTGATGTCCACAAGGAGAGGTGTTTCAGCCCCTCAGGCAGGGGAAGCAAACCATTTCCTGGAATTCAGATCTACAAGGACGGCCTCACACAGGGCTTCGTGTAGGAAGTCATGCATACGGACTGCAACCGAGAACACCCACAACCACACCCCTACCACGTGCTGCAGGAAACCAATCTTGATCAAACGTCTTGAGGGAAACTAAGGGCATGCACTCCATTTTTTTTTTTTTTTTTTTTGGACAGGCAGAGTTAGACAGTGTGAGAGAGAGAGAGAGAAACAGAGAGAAAGGTCTTCCTTTTTCTGTTGGTTCACCCCCAAAGTGGCCGCTACGGCCAGCATGCTGTGCCGATCAGAAGCCAGAAGCCAGGTGCTTCCTCCTGGTCTCCCATGCGGGTGCAGGGCCCAAGGACCTGGGCCACCCTCCACTGCACTCCCGGACCACAGCAGAGAGCTGGACTGGAAGAGGAGCAACCGGGACAGAATCCGGTGCCCCAACCAGGACTAGAACTCGGGGTGCCGGCGCCACAGGCAGAGGATTAGCCTAGTGAGCTGTGGCGCCGGCCAAGGGCATGCACTCAATTAAAAACCATTCTATCAAAATGAAGACAATGTGGGCTGAGTCCACATCTTGCTGGTAGATCAGTTTACTCAAAGAAGCCACCACCGACCACGTTGAGGAATGGATGAAGCTAGGCTCGCACGCACTCTGACACACCCGCATCTACCAGAAGACCTTGTTATTACTCAACCAGAGGACACCGACCGCAAGAGGCTTTCCTTCTCACCCTCACTGTTTCCAGAGGTTTTGTTTAAAAAAAAAAATCTACTTCTGTTGAATGAACTAGACAATGTAGGTCTTTCACTTTTGGTTAAAATGCTCAGGACTTTATTATCTGCCTGCCAAGTAATTGTTGCTATGCAAGTGTTTGTTTAAAAAAAAAAAAAGGAAAAAGACACTTTACTTCACTTGGCAGGAGTCAGGGAGAGGGTCACACATAAGTGACAAATTAGAAACGCATGCACCGGAGCCGGCGCTGTGGCACAGCAGGTTAACCCCCTGGCCTGAAGCACCGGCATCCCATATGGGCACAGGTTCTAGTCCTGGCTACTCCTCTTCTGATCCAGCTCTCTGCTATGGCCTGGGAAAGCACTAGAAGATGGCTCAAGTCCTTGGGCTCCTGCACCAGTGTGGGAGACCCAGAAGAATCTCCTGTCTCCTGGCTTTGGATTGGCGCAGCTACAGCCGTTGTGGCCAATAGGGAGTGAACCAGCAGATGGAAGACCTCTCTCTCTCTCTCTGTAAAACTCTTTCAAACAAAATAAAATAAATCTTAAAAAAAAAGAAACACACGCACTGATTGAGGATTTCTTCTTTGTGAGCATCACCTGTTTTCATGAGTTTTCTAGAACCATTCAGGCAGAATACCAGTCCCTGACTACCGTGATGTGAGAATGTTACATGAAAAATATGCTGCAGAGAGATTATTGTAATTGCACATAGAGGAGGATGCAAAGGCTCTGAAACACTCAGAGAAACACCAGAACCTTAAAAAACTGGGACCACCAGAGTGCTGGCACAGTAGGGTAAGCCACCGCCTGCAGCACCAGCATCCCATATTGAAGCAACGACTCAAGTCCAGGCTGCGCTCCTTCTGACCAGCTCTCTGCTAATGCCCCAAGGAAGGCAGCAGCAGATGGCCCAAGTACCTGGGCCCCTGCCACCCACGTGGGACACCAAGATGGAGTTCATTCCAAGCTTCTGACTTCAGCCTGGCCCAGCCCCAGCTGTTGTTGCCATTTGGGGAGTGAACCAGTGGATGGAAGATCTGTCTCCCCCTTACAAATAAAATAAAAGCAGATACTTTTACCAAATTTCTTCTCTGGGTAGAGCAGACGCAGCTTCAGAATTCCTTTCTAGCTCGCTGTTCCCTCCTGTCAGCCTTCATTCACATTGGAAGCTTCTGTTTGTGAATTTTGTCTAATTTCTAGTTTAGTTCAGCATCCAATAACGCTCCGTTCCAGCAATGGAAAACGACACTAAAAAGCATCATCGCGTTTACTTCCATTTTATCCCGAAAAACCATTTTAAAATTCCAGCCCAACGTTCAGATGAAACCTGAATATATCCTGAAGGGTGTCGTAAAGTGAATTTCTTACATTTTTAAAGACAAATGATCCACTGTTATACTTAACCTATTGTTTCAGCAACAACAGATGCCCAATAACCTGGCCTGGAAGCAATCCTGACTCTGGTGGAGAGTGACTGGGAAGATTCTGGAACACAGACAATTACAACCTTGGCCCAAGTCCGATGAAATCTCCTCTCTTTCTGCGGATTATTCATCTCCTTGCTAACTCCTTGGCTCTTGTTTTCTACACTCAGCAGTCACATAAGTCTTGCTATTCCATACTCAGCAAAGTAAGGCAACTTGTTAAGAACAGAGAAAGTCTGTGAGTTTATTGGACTAGGGTTCAGGTACCAGGTTGGGGTTGGGGCAGACTTGCCTTTCATATTTCAGATTCTTGTTTCTCCCAGGATCCATCTGGCTTTGGACCCTATTCCAATTCATCAATGTTTTTAACATTAGACAAACACTCATAGATGTTTCCAGGCCACATCCATGTTATCTTCAGTACCAACTAGTTTCCGCATGGAAGTTTCTAGAACGTGTCAGCAAGGCACCCGGCAAGGTGTCCACCCAAGCAGACCTACCCGCTTGCTGCTCTCCTCCTCCTGGGCCTTGCGGAACTCATGCTCCAGCGAGCAGTCCAGCTCGGTGAAGAGGCCCACCTCCTCGCAGTTCTTCAGGAATCTCGTAGGCGTCGGAGTCTGATCTGAAAGCAGAGAGCAAGTGATCATAAGTGGCTCTTTCCCTGCAAAGCCATGGCAAGTATGAGCTAACCCACCGATCTGCTCCCTTCACCTTAGTTAGGAGGCTTACTCGCCATCTACAAACAAGAACATGACAGCGCGCATTTCAAAGCGAGAACACAATGGGGGCTGGAGCTGGTGCAGCTGCGCACGCCTGACACACCAGCATCCCGTATCAGAGCACCAGCTCAAGTCTGGGCTGCTCTACTTAGGATCCAGCTGATGCACCTGGGAAAGCAGCAGAAGACGGCCCAAGTGCTTGGACCTCTGCTACTATCCACATGGGAGACCCAGATGGAGTTCCGGGCTCCTGGCTTCAGCCTGGCTCAGATCTGGCTGTTGTAGCCATTTGGGGAGTGAATCAGCAGATAGAAAAATCTCGCCTTCTTGTTCTACCTTTCAAAGAAATCAATTTTAAGAATACCACAATATGTAGAAGCTACAGCACACCACAATAGGTAGAAGCTACAGCACGTAAGGGCTTTCCAACTTCCCCGTGAACACTTTTAGGCAGATCTTGCCCTTGATTATCTAGAGTCTATGTCATTTTAAGATTTATTTATTTGAAAGGCAGAGTTATAGAGAGACAGGGAGAGAGGTCTTCATCTGCTGGTTCACTCCCCAATTGGCCACAACAACCGGAGCTGGGCTGATCCAAAGCCAGAAGCCAGGGGCTTCTTCCAGGTCTCCATGTGCAGGAGCCCAAGGATTTGGGCCATCTTATAGTGCTTTCCCAGACTGCAGCAGAGAGCTGGATCAGAAGTGAAGCCGCTGGGACTCGAACTGGCACCCATATGGGATGCTGGCACCACAGATGGTGGCTTTACCGGCTACACCACAGCGCTGGCCCTCGAGTCCATATCATTTGAAAACACACTGCAGTAAGTTGAGTGACCTTTGTCGTATTTTTCTTTTAGACTAGAAAAAAAAAAAAAAAACATAATTGAGCTAAAGTCAGGCCAAAACTCTTCTGAGCCAATATTAAGCCTGACTTCAGGGGGCTGGAAAGAAAGGACTTTGTAAATTTCTGTATCAAACCAAAAGAAACAAACAAGCCTGTTAATTCCTTTTTCTTAATCGAAAAAAGAAAACTTGACAATTCTGTTTCTCATTCTAGAATCACAGGGAGAGGCGAAAAGCCAGACATTTTCAGCCACAGGAATGTCCACAGAATACTCTAAAAGGAGGGGAACAGTGTTCACCCTCCTGACTTTCTAGAGAGCTGAGCACATAGGAAATCGGGGGAGCTGCTGGTTTACTATCTAGGTGGCATTTGCAGTACACGAGAAATTTCACACACACTCTAGAATCTAGAACTTACAAGTTCCTAGAGAGGTAGAATTACACATCTAGTCAGTCAAGGAGTTATCTTCCTTGATCAAGGTGTACCTCAACTTGACATAACACTATGCAAACCACTTTTTCTCAGAAGCAGAAGGTAAGTGCTGGCTTTGGAACTTAGTGGGCTAAGATACAGCCTGCAACACTGAAGTCCCATTATCAGGTTCAAGTTCCAGGTGCTCCACTTCCAATCCAGCTCCCTGCTAATGTGCCTGGGAAAACAGCAGAGGATTGTCCAAGTACTTGGGCCCCTGCACCCACATGGGAGACCTGGATGGAGTACCAGAGTTCCAGGCTTCTGGCTTCAACCTGGCCATTGTGGACATTTGGGAAATGAACCAGCAGATGGAAGATCTCTCTCTACCTCTACCTCTATCCCGGTCTTTCAAATAAATTTTTTTTAAATGATTTGATATTCCCATTTACTCAGTACCTCTTAACTCCCTCTGGACAAGGGATATTAAATATCCTAATGGCTTCCGTGGATTGCAGGGCAGCACAATTCTATTTGCATTCTCCCCCCTTCTGAGCCAGGTCATCAAGATCCCAAGCTCTCTTTGCAGCCCACAGAAAGCCCACCACTGGTGATCAGAAATGGAGCATTATGGGTAAAGGGGACATGAAAGATTGTGTTGTTAAACACGGCTTTATTAGCATGTTAAAATGCACAAAAAGTCCATGTAACTGGTATGTGCTAATAGAAGAAAAAGGTAATGCTTACACAAGATTTTCCTATTTACCAATGTTTTCCCTTTCCTTGGCTATAATCTAGGTCTCAATAGGAAATAAGTAGATATTATTTTAGAAATGGAGAAATAAGCTTCTGTTCTCAAGGTCACAAAGCCTATAGCCATCTCAGCCCCACCAAGTCTTCCCCTTACCTGGAGTCAAGACAGCTTTCAACCTGAATCCAGGGCTTTGCTGACCCCGGTCCAGAAGACTCCATTGTATGTGTGAAAGACAATGTTTACAACTAGAAATCCAGCTCTGTAATTTAGGGGGAATTTTCCACATTCTCATCTTTCAAATGTTTTTCTAAAGTTTCAGGATTCTATAAATTCTAAAATCTCCACCATGGTGAGCTAGCTTCAAAAGTCACTGTTCATAGACAAGGAAATGCATGACTATTGACGAGTCAAACGGGAACACCAGGATCAAATGGAAGCCAGCCACTGCCTTAGGTAAGAGGTAAGGGCTAGGTCTATAGTCATAGCAGGTTTTCTGAACAGAAATGGTAAAGACAGGATCTGACAGTGGAAATGAAAAGGTACACAACTGTGTGTACCTATTCTCCCATTTGTTGGAAGTTTACTTCATGCTAGGCATTGTGCTAAGTGCTCTGGATATACTATTTCATTCATTTTCATGCCCACTAAATGGGGAAAAATTTAGTCTCCTTGGGGTAGGCACTTAGTTCTGCAGTTAAGATACAACTTAGGACCCCTGAACCCTGTATCAGAAGGGCTGGATCCGTGTTCTGGGCCCACTTCCAACTGTAGCTTCCTGCTAAAGCACATCCTGGAAGGGAGCAGATGAAGACAAGTAGCTGGGTTCTTGCCACCCACGTGAGACTCCCAGGTTGAGTTCCCAGTTTTGGCTTTGGCCTGGCCCTGCCCCAGCTGTTGTATGCACCTGGGAAGTGAACCAGCATATAGGACATTCTCTATTTCAAGTAAGTAAAATAAAGTTATTCTCCTGTGGATATGGAGATTGACCCCAGGCCTACTTTTAGAAACTGAATCACATAATTTTGTTGGTAATTGATAATGTTAGCAACCTATGATTCTCTTAAAAGGTCTCCGTATCATTTATAGCCTCCATGTGATAGAACCGCATAGCAATCCCAATGGCTTGCTATCAGCTCATAGAAACATTTTTCTGATTTATATCAAATAACAGAACTATTAAAGTTATCAATAGGAATTTAGCTTGCTAGGTACTAACTTTTATTCCATGCTGCTCAGTTGCCAACAGAGAAGTTTGAGGGTCAGTGATTTGAGATGGAGAAAACCCCTCAACTCTGAGATGAGGTCACAAGATGGCCCATGAAACAGGGTGCACACTGGCATTGAGGGGCTAAGCCTCAACTGGCAGCGAGAGATGTTTCCCATCAGCTCGGAAGCAAAATGATCCCCAGCCCCTGCATGCATCTACCTCTGTAGAAACAGATTTAAGGAGGACGGCACAGGGATGCCGTTAACACCGTCCATGGTCAAGGGGCTCTTCAACAGGGAAGCCAAAGCTAGAAGTGCCAGGAGGTGCCAAGGCTCCTGCCCCCCTCCTGTCCGTACAGTGGAAGGCCCAGAGACAGGCCCCAGGCACCAAACATGCTCGTGTGCACTGCATGACATCGTTCGAGGAAAGCAGAGCGGATATCTATGTCCACATTTGGAACAGATAAGACCCACCGCTCCTAACTTTTAATTCGTTTTCTTCTTGTGAATGAGCTATTCTTTCCAGTTACAACAGGAACCAGAAAACGGAGCTTAACTTTTGTTTTAACATTTACTAGAATCAATACAGGGTCTCCAGTCGTCTTTGATCTCACATGGTACCAGTTTCAAGTAAGCCAGGAAATGTGCGAGTGTTCCCGAAGGGGACAGCTCCATCTATCAGCTGCTTAAATACAAGACACACATGTTTCAGAGCTGCACGGATACCCTGTCAGAGAGCTAGTCCTTCCGCAACGAGGCTAGAGGTTAGCGAGGCAACATCCAAGGCCATGAATGAAAATTCTCGCACACCACACCTTAGGTAGAGCCCAGAGCATACGCCAGTCAGCTGCCGCACCAGCAATTTCTGTATCAGAGATAACCATGGCTGAGGCTGTCTGTGGGCAGTTTCTAAGGTCCACCCACACAGTGGTAACAGGCAGCACTTAGGGGCACACAGGAAGTGGTTTTGGGAAAAATGTGGAGCGGAGATGACAGTGTAAGTTCCTCTGCTCATCTTCCACGTAGTGGCTGTAGACAGCATCATCCAAATGAGAGCAAGGGTTAACCTCAAGCTAAGCGAAAAGCTAACAACTTCGGAGTTTGGACAAGACCCGAGTTGAAGTTTTCTGAGGTTACTAGCCTTGTAAATGTGACTTGACACTGCGTGAACACCTGCATGCTACTGCCTTACAGAGCTTGCAAATGACACACCGCATTCCCAAGGGACTCCAACACCTGGGGCAAACACAAGGAGGAAACCTTGCCCACTTCCACTTCCCCATATGTCTTCAAGGAGCGCTTTATCCATTGGATGAAAAGACTGGTGCCCGAGAAAGAAGAGCGCGATCTGCTGTTTGCTGCAACACAGATGGAACTGGAGGACATTTTGCTACGTGAATTGAGTCAGGCACAGCAAGACAACCACTGCACGTTGTGACTCAGGTGTACAAGGTAAAAAAGTTGATCTCATAAAAGTACAAAGTAGAATGGTGATCCCTGGAGGCTAAGAAGGGTGAGGACATGATAGTGAGGATGGTTACCAGGTTAAAGGGGTGTAGTTAGGAGGGATAGTGTATTTTTATAAAAATTATTTTTATTTTGCAAAATACTGGGTCACCCCCACCCCCAACCAAACTCCTGAAGAGTTGGCTAGAGCTGGACCAGATGGAAGCTAAGAACTCAGTCTA